AGCCTGTTGTTATCTTTGCTTTTGACGATAACTGAAGGCTATCCCTCACGCAGCGTCTTGTAGGGTACGGAAGAAGATGCTTGTGGAGTGGGTGAAGCCCCTTCTCGCTCAGGGTCAGTATTCATGAGGTGCCTCTCCGAGGACAGCGGCGAGGACTCAAAAACCTCGCTTGACGGATGACGAGGCTTATCTGCGCTTGAGGGCTGATGCCGCTTGTCCTGGCTTGAGGAATGGTGTTGCTTATCCTCTCGCTTGATTGAGGAATAACTTGGCTCCTCGAGAGATTTTGATGAGGCGAGACCTCTTCAGTGTCGTCAGTTGTACGGTCGTACGGTCGTCAGCTCGTCAGTCGTCCGTCGTACGGTCGTACCGTCGTCAGAATAACTTCCTGTGCATGTTTGACAGATGCTCATGGAGTGCAGCATGAATCTTGTTCAGAATCTCGCCCAGGTTACGGATCCCAATCAACAGATGCCATTTCCAGGACTCTCGTATCATGATCGATTTCGGCCTTTCAAGTATGACGTGGCTGTACTTTTGGGAAGGATAACGTTGATGGGCAATCTTTGGTTGCCCACACAGACTGACCGTTCTTTGATTACCCTCTGATTGAGTTTAAGGTTTATGATGCGGATAGAATGTTTGCTGCTGCAATCAAGTCCGTGGTTTCGAGCATTTGCAGATCTCTACCTTAAGTCCTTCCCCCGAATACAACGCATAGCTGAATTTGGGCCATCTGTCAGTCTAAATACGTCAGTTTATACCTTGAAGTTCCTCCCCCGAGTACCGTGCGTTGTATTCGAGGGAAGAAGTAGTCACTAGGGCGTTCTTGCATATATATATATATATATATACATATATATATACATATATATATATATATGTATATCCTGGTTGGTCTCGTCCCGTCGTTTGGCCTGTGAGTTGGGGCGGTGCTTGCATGTGGGACTTGTCATCTGGGATTTGTTTTTTTGCCCCCTGTTCTGTATTATTTGGCTGTTCCCTTCCTCTTTTCTTTGCCTCTTTGCCTTTTGGCTGTGTGCAAGTGGGTCGATATGACACACGGGGGTGGGGCCAGCCGCCGCTCAACCTACATCCACGTGGGCGGCCTTGTACGCAAGAGGTTCTGAACAGGGGGAGCTGTAAGGAAGAAGATAAGAAATGAACTGATATTTTTTTGGTTTTCCTTTGTTTTTTTCGCTTTCGCGCTCTGATATTTATGTGATGATATATATATGTATATGTATATATGCTTACCCTCCTCACAAGTGAAGGAAATGAATGGTTAGCTAGTAAAGGGGAATCGGTGGGCGGCTGGATGAACTCAGGGGTCGTGCAGTACGGCAGCCATTTCTCTACTGATATTTTGTGTCACAGTGCTGCTGCTGTCGAGGAGTGGTTGTATGTAGACTTGAATTTTGTCACTATGCAGACGGACTAAAGCTACACAATCTCATGCATTATTCCACCTGGCCTGGTACGATTTGCAGCTCAGAAGTGAAGTTGGACTGTAGGTCTTTTTGTCGACGAGAGAAAAGGGCATCGTGGAGAGGTTGACGTACTAACTGAAAAAATAACACTGTCGGAAATTGCACTCCCAATTTCTGACCTTTCTTCACCCCAGCGTAGGGTGAATTTCAAGGGTAGTTTTATAAATATTGCAGAGAAGAAAATTGACAGTAGGTCAGTTCCGAGGGGGTGCTGCTGGATAAAGGGGGGTGTTCATGTGTCGGTCTTGCTGGCTCGAATCGGTGGGTGCCGGACCCTGCCGGTGCACTTGCATTCTGTGCTGTGTACTTGTTTTTTTTCCTTCTCTCAGAATCTGATTATGTATGCTCACAGACGTGTATGTGTGGGTGCTGTTTTTCTGGCCGTCCGTGGAAATTGCAAGGATCAAGGGAATAGTTTATATATATATGAAACTCCGACTAAACAGTTCGTCACAGTCCCCTCGTTTGTTGTCCTCTTCTCCCTCTCTGCCTACGGTTTACTGGGCAGCTCTGTTTTATATATATATATATATATATATATATATATATATATATATATATATATATATATA